CATGTCCCCCTTATATGTAAAAGTCACATCCCCCAAGGTAAAGGTAATAGCCGCAGGATATTCAATAAACAGGGGCTCGTTCACCATTGGATCGTAGTATCTATACCACTCTGTGTTTGATAAAGAGCAGATTGTATCAGAACATTTAATCAGATAAACAACATATAAGCTCACATGCAGCTTCTATCAAGTTCCTACCATCACCTTTTACTGAAAGCTTTTTCCTGTCCAGCAACATGTTGTCCTTTCCCCTGAAGTTGTAGAAACCGCTGTCTGCTTGCCTGAGATCGTGCATCTCCCAGGCATTACTATACACCTTTACTCTGCCTTCCTTATTGGTTTGAGGGTCGGTGCGATTCCACATGACCTGTGGCTGGCCCCGGCTGCGAAGGGGAGTGAACTCAAGGAATTCAGCCTTTCTAGGAATACGCCAGTAGAACAAAGACCCATAATGGCTGTCATACTCCTCAGCACAATCTGAAGAAACACATACAAAAAAAAACAGCATGGACTTAATAATAATGCACATAGCTAATAGAAATACCTATTTCCATTTGATGAAAGAGAGCCTTTACATATAGTAGAGTATTGTATACAGTAGTGTAGTGGTATTGTAGTGTTCTCACCATTAATTGTCAGTTCGATAATATCGTGTAGTGCAACACCATCCAATGAGATAGAAAAAGTTCCCTCATCTCTTTCAGTCAAATCTATCAAACGAACTGAGATATAGGAAACTTTAAGGCGTGGGTCCTTTGCCTGAATAGGTAGACAATAAAGACAACAAACATTTACCGGCCCATTCATGATTCATGATCTGAACAGAAGCCAGAGCCTGCCTTGAATGGAAGTCACAGCAATAAAATTGCAGCACCAGAAGCTACTCACCTCCTCTTTATCCATCAATAGCTTCCTGGACCCCCCTTCCTTGGGAGTGAAGTACAGCTGTCCACTGAAAAGAGGGGGTGAATACTCTGATGGTATTTTAAGATTACGACCATAGCACAGATGTTCCTCCGTAATAGCAGCGGACGAACCTCCAATCAGAAAGATACAAGTGAAGAAAAGACAGATGGAGGAGAGAATATTAAAGTAGAGGTAGAAACAAGACATCTGAGGACATATGGAAATCATACTTTAAACAACTACAGTACATATAATACCAGAGGTATTTGGACTTGAGTTTGAATTATAATTTTGTCAGTGCTTGAATTAAATAATAGCTGTGGATGCATGAACCAACATTTTTGCATGTTTTTGTTTCCATTTGTCTCCACAAAATAATCAATGATGACACTATAACACAATTGGTACAAGTGCAGACACATTAAAAAAAGTTCCAGTAACCAATAAATATGTATGGCTGAATGACCCTATGACTACAGCTAAATGCAATTTTCAATTTCAACAAAAATCTGGAACAGCAAAAAAAAATCATATTTTGAATGAGAACTACACTTGTTACTGGGTCATTCTGTGTCAAATGAGACAGAATCCATGAAAGTGGTTGCAGCACTGTCTCAGATTTTGTTCAAAGTTTCAACAATATTTATTTTATTGTTACCTCCTACGAGTGAATGTTGGTTACATGCATCCTATGTATAAATTGAAAACATCCTTTTTTAAGAGGTGCGATTATGCGATTGCGTGCAATTACGTTTTGGACAGGGAACCTTACTTGAATTGTAAGCCTACGGTATTTAGTTTGTCACTATACTTATCCTACATACGTTAAAAAAATAAGTGGTGGGTGTTTATTCATAAATATAATGTAATCCTGAAATACATAAATACATACATGAAGCAATTTCGAGGTATGCCTACATTTTTATGTTCCTACCCCACACACTATTTTGGTCCTCTGAAAATGACCAAATTATGCTACAATGCCTTGTTTTATTCATAATAATTTCTGGTTCATTAGTCGTACAGACCACAAATATTGGCACAAACGTAACAAAAGGTTGTATTTGCAGAAAAATAATGATTGATATCATACTGATGCAAAAATGTGGGTTTGTAGTACCCTCAGTATCACACTCGTTTAGGAATTTTGCACTTTTCTTCCAAATATAGGGCCTTATAAAAATAAAATGGTGTGCAGTACAGGGTTTTAATGGTTTTGGCATACATGTCTTCCATCCTACAAAGTTTGGTGAGACTAAGAACAAGGAACCTGTCAAGATATTGAAGGCCAAACACGGCTTCCCAGATAAGGTGTTTTTGAGACAGTGCTTTAGCAATTTCATCTGATTTGACATGGAATGACCCTGCTAACTAAATAAGTGAACGAATGAGTGAAGAAAAGGGTCATATATGTGGAGAAATAAATACGTAAATAAAATCAAATGAAAAAACTTAATTATCATATTATCATTTATTAAATTAAAAGAGTGACATATAACATTATAAAATATAAAAGAGGCTTAGTACCTGTAAATTTGATTTTCATTAAATCTAACTGAGTTAATTCTTAGAATTTTTTCTCTCATCTTTAATTGATCTATTTCAACTCAATTAGGGGGACACCAGCTAAGTCTATTTGTAGGTTTGAATATTACTGGGAAAATAAAAATCCTACAAATAAAAAAAATCTTGAGGTAACTGTAATACATAATGTGAATGATGTTTATTAATTTAATACACATTAACAGATTAATCTCTCAATTGCTTTCTAGATCTCTTGATAATTTTTTCATGTATTTGGAGTTTGTTTTTGTTTTTTTACATTGTAACCTTATACAGAGCCCACAGGCTTATGTGGAGCGCCGCTTAGACTAAACTGTACATAAACCATATGCCAAATATTGTAAAGCCTGCATTGTTGCATTTCTTTTGTAGATTTGTTCAAATGAGCTCCACTCACCAATGAAGAGACTGGAAACTGTCATGAACAACAGTAACATGTCCTGCAGAGAGAAGAAATGTTCCCTAACATGTTTATCACAGTCGAAAACCCCAGAAAAAAACTCAACATCGAGCAGGAGATTATATACAAAACCAACTGTCAGACAAGATGTCTACTCACTGCGAAATAATTACGGTTTCTTCACTTTTGTTTGTGTTAGTACTCCTCCAGGACGGACTGTACTAAGCGAAGGCGATGTTGCGTGCTACACACTCGTTGATAAAAGCAAAACGAAAAAACGTGAAAGGAGTGCTCGAGAGGTTCACTCGGCGTTTAACGCTCGAGAGTTTGAGTTATACTGTGCGAGAAAGTATAAGTCACTATTACTAATTACTAACTTACCACTACCACAGTCCTTGGAAAGCTTTTCTCTTTCAAGCGCTCTGACAATTACTATTCTACCTAGGGCGGGGTTACTCCTATTACTTGTATGGTGGCCATGAATCTCAAATCACAGCTACAAATGGGAAAACACAACAACAACAACAACAACTCACAAAACAGAAACTACAGCCACAAAGCAGAAAGCATTAACTTCTACTCAGGTGAGTATCAAGTATCACATATGCCTTTCATCAAAATGATCTCTGATGACATACGGCAGTGCTCATGTTTTCAAGTGATAGCAGCCTTTACTTCTAAACAAGGCAGACTGAGTGTCCATCCAATCAGCAACAAACCTCAGCACGTGTAGGGTTCCATTTGTGCCAAAAATATGTCCACATGCACACTGTTTGTCTATTTGTTTTCTTGAACTCAACTTCAGTTGTGACAAAACTACACTACAGCTACATTAGCCGTTAGCTTGGAGAAAAGAATGGCCTCCATGTAAGTGTATCTCTGCAAACAAATTGAGTGTTTGTCCACACATTTGCTCAACTGAGAGTTCAACTGAAATGAGAAATCGTTTCGTCTCATGAAGTGATTCAGTTCACTTCATTCATCCAAAAGATTTGTACTTTGGAACAAACAACAGCACACCTTCAACCTTGCATGCTTAGCAATACCTCCTCTCTTGCCCCACTCAACATGTCTCACGTACATTCATCTTGCAATTTTTGCTCAGCTTTTGTCTTTTTTTGCATGTATTAAGTGGTGGTGCCAAGCTGAGGTGTACTTTTGTGTTGGGGCCCCTAAATAAACAACATGATTAAATGTCTTAGAATGGAGAACAAAACAGTTTGTATTAATTTTCTGATTCTTGCTTCCTTTCTTTTTTTGTGCAAAGTGCATGCTTTTTCAGATCAATTTGGTTCCACTCTGATGAGGCACCACATTTACCTATGTTTTTGATTTTATTTTTTTTTTTGTAAAGCACATTGAGCTGCAATTATGCATGAATGTTGCTACACAAATAAAGTTTATAATTATCATTATTATTATTATTATTATTATTTACAAACCAAGTAAATTGCAACACAGATACATTTCCAAGATCAAAATGATTGTTCTGCGTTAACTTCACAGATGCCAGGCCTCGTGATTTGTAATGAAATGTAATTTAGGGGGTTGTAAAATGTAAAATTACTTTTTTTAAAGATTTGCATGTTGGTTGGGCTGTAGTTAAATAAGGGAAATTACACATTCATAGTTTCAATATGCTACTGAACCTATGGTAGACCTGTTCTTAATTGTTATGATTCCATTAGTAAGGTCACCAGTGGAGGAAGTATTCAGATCTTTTGTTCAGACAAGTGTAATGGTCTTCTGTGATAACAAAATACTAAAATTGAAATACTTGTTTTTATATAAATAAAAATCAAATTTAAATTTAAACTTCAGTACATTTCTCTGCATGAAAAGGATCCGTGACAAAGCATCTGCCCTCATGTTTCTGCAAATTCCTGAGGAGTCATTTCAGGTTTAATCTTGTCGCCCAGCCCATCATTGAGTATCCCACTATGTAACCGTGCACTCTCTTGCGCTAATAGCGTATTTACACTCAGGAACAGGCAAAAAGAAAATTATGTAACATGGGATGGGATTTTGCGTATGAGCTGCTGAGAATACAATTTACCCATCGTCATAGCTAAGAAGGGGAGCAATGCTCATGCGCGATGTTGTCAACCTCTTACCCTCGATCACATGAGCATTCACAAATACCAAGCTGTAAACTTCATTTTCGCACCACACATCCTGCAGGTGAGATTCAGACTGGCTGCGCCACAGACTGCGTAATCATTTGTACATTATCAATAACTTACGGCCTAACGTCCCGCTGTGTCGCTGTAAATGTTGTCCATGTTGGGAAACATTTGTGACACCCGAGTGGACGTGACTTCTAAGAGCGGACAAGGCGTTGTGGACCAGACAGCAATAGCCCTTTTTGGATGTATCCAGCATGCATCGCTCTGCAGAGACATCATCACAGTTGTTTTGGGGCTCCCCCCTGTGTGTCTTGTTGATTGAGGATCGCATGTCCCGCGGCTGGCTGCTTGTTTTCAGAGGAAGGTGCATGACAATCGTCAATCGTGTGTGCATCTCTGGCCACTGTGTTTATACATGAAAGAATCTGGTCTATCTTTACAGGGGAAGATGTCCTTCTGTGTCGTACTCACTACCCTTTTTGCCCTTTCTCTTGCTGTGGGTGAGTTCTTGAACATAATTTCAGTACCACTTTTTATAAAGACACCTAGCCTATTAATTAATGGCTTCAATAATCGTTATAAGCCACTCCTCAGGAAAACAACTCTTAAAATCCGTTTGGTGTTTATCCTGTTGTGAGGTATATAATGTAGATATTAATGTTAATAAATTATCAACCAATAGTTATTGGTTTCTCTATTTTTGATAACATACATGCAGTATACAGTTTTGTTTTAAACATACAGACTTAATAAATACAGGTTTCTCGTTTTCTAAGAAGCTGACAGTGATTAAGTCATGTGCAACTATCAATGTAAATTCCATTGTAGGGGAGACCTAGGATGATTGTAACATTTTTGACATTTCTGTCTGTATCTTGGAGCACTTTTAAGCCAGTGCGTTCAAAAAGTAGTACAAACTAGTTGTGTGTCTGCTATTAAATGGTGTGAGTGTTATCTAAACAGAAAATGCATGGTTTAGTCTCAAACACAAGGAGTTAGTTGTGACATATCCTGGGCTGGCCACATTTCATCACATATCCTTTGCTTATGAAATATATTCCCAGAAGAGGTTGCTGATTTTATTTTCCACTTTTGACAGCTGAAAGAGAAGACGTTCAGACGGTGTGTGCCGGAAAAGAATTTCGTCTGCCAGTGTACTCGACATCCAGAACAGTGACTTTTACACCAAACCCTGAGGGACCAAAGCGTGTCTTGCTGGAAAAAACCACAGTGAGTGGAAGTGTGCCTGTGCTTTGTGTTTTGTTATTGTGTGTACAGATTGTCTAAACCTATTTACAACTGCAGGTAAAAGACCCACGGTTCGAGTGGACAAGAGATAAGATGTTAGTCCTGAAAGAAGTAACTCATAGTGATCAGGGACTTTATGCCATCAAACTGTTCTCTGGATTCACCTACGAGACTGTTCGTCTGATGGTTTCAGGTATGATAGTTACCACTCTTTTGTAAGTCTGTCCCTGGTTTTCGTTATGATCCAGAGCCAAATTATCTTTAAATTGAATGTATAATGTAATACCAATGCATTCATGGAAAATACTCCATCACAAGTAAAAGCCCCTTGTACAAAATCCAACTCAAGTAAAAGTTTGGACGTATTATTATTGTATTTCAAGCATGAAAGGTAAAAGTGCTCATTCTGCTTCATTATTGGACTGTTAATGCTGATGCATGAAAGTGTAATCATTTCATTGTTGTAGCTGAGAAGTGGAGCTAGTTTTAGCTTCTTTATATACAGTTAGACCGTGTAGTCCAGTGGTTCTCACGTTTGGGGTTACAAAATGAATCAGATGGACAATTTTGCAACTCTGGGCCTAATCCAAAAGTAACCGGCAACTATAATTAACAGTGCAATATTTATCTGTCAAATGTAGAAGTACAAAGTAATGTTGAATACTCAAATAAAGTAGTAATAGTACCGCAGATCTCCTCTCTAATCTCTTACTTCTTCAACCTGTTTCAGAATGCATTAAGTCCTACAACAGAAACTATGGGGAGAACTTTGAGCACAACATCCCTGAACATGGCTCCCTGCTGGAGTTTTCTCCCTGGGTTGCTTCACCTGAGGTCATGCCCATTGTGCTTTGGAACCGGACAGACCCTGGAACCAGTGATGCGGGGCGGGGACGGCTGCTGCGGGGCGGGAAGGTATGGGCGGCCGAGAGAGTGACGCAAGTGGACCAAGGCGACTACACTGTGAGAGACACACATGGGAAGGTGCTGTCCCGCAGCACCCTCACTGTCCACGGTGAGACAAAAAAAAATCACAAGAGGATGAGCACTTTAAGAAGCTGACTAATACATTTCTTTAACTTTAGGATCAATGGTAATGGTTATATTTTATCTTTCCCTTTCCGTTTGACACCCTCTCATACCTTCATGTTTCCTTCATTCCCTACTCCTCTCTGTGTTCATGATCCTGCATATGGATGCAGGGCACTCCTTCAGTGTCACCCGCTTCACCAAGGAGTCTCTAAATCTGCCCCTCTTTCTTCCTGTCCCTCATGCCCACCTCATTTTTACCCCCACCCGAAATCCTGATGAATCCTCCCCACGGGGCCCTGTGCAGCTGATCCGTGAGGGCCACATAACAGACCATGACATCCGCTACAGGGGCCTTATCTCCCTGGGCAGGAATGGTAGCATCAATGAGGTTGTCATAGCGAGGCTAACCTCAAGGCATGATGGGGTGTATGAAATCAGAGATGAAGATGGCAACCTGGTGTCCTCCACCATCTTGCAAGTGATCGGTGAGTATCTAGATGCTTTGCTTCTCCACAGTATGTTCCTCCCAATATCTGCTCCACTTCTGCTTTTCTAATCTCTTCAGAAAAGGGGGGCAGATGGCGAGCACTCCTCAAGTCCATCACTGTCCCTTCTGGGATGTTTCTGTCACTGGTTGGTGTCATCCTGTTCTTGAAGCGCTACCCATGCTGCAGCCTGTCGCGGATCATCGCTGGCCTCAGAGGGAACCGCACACCACCAGCCGACCCTCCGAGAGTGGACATCCAGGTGAAGGAATCAGGAGAACCACATTACTCTACACTGACATACCATAGCTGCATTCATTTATACTGTACATTTTGTTGCATATATTTTGGTAATTTTGTGTATATACTGTTAAATCCCTGCTTACTATCACTTCTCAATTGGTTTATTTTTTATTCACTACAATTCTTTGTCTCTATATTTGTCTGTATGTTCTTTTGCCACTGCTTGCACTATCTGGAGATGCCACTGCATTTTTCTGTGCTGGTACTTATTATGTGTAATGATTTTGTTGTTCAACCTGATCTTATTTCATCTAGTGGCCCTACCAGCTGAGACAGCTGTGTGTATAGGAAAATTAATCTATGAACACCATACATTTTTTAATTTGCCATGGTCTAAAAATAAGTCCATTATTTGCTCAGTTTAACAGCTAACCACAGTGATAAAGTAATAGTAATAAACTTAATTTGTGTAGCACTTTCCTTAACAGAGTTGCAAAGTGCTTTCCAAGGAATAAACTAAAGTAATGATAACAGCAAATTACTTTATATGGTGCAGTAAATCGTATTATGTTATTCATGAATATATTCATGAATCATATGCAGGCACTGGGTTTCACACTTAATGTCCACTGAAAATCCTTTGTTTTTGCGAAAATTCTGAGGTTATTTCAAACTTTGTGTGTGTGTGTGTGTGTGTGTGTGTGTGTGTGTGTGTGTGTGTGTGTGTGTGTGTGTGTGTGTGTGTATACAGGACTACAGCCAGCCCAGCCCTGAGCCCTCAGGCTACTACAGTCACTCTCAGCAGCCTGTCACACCAAGAAAATTGACCCCAAGGACCAGTCCTACACATACTGTAAGGCTGATTAACTGAATTAAATGAGTTGGCAGGTTTTGCCTCTTTATTTAAAACAGTTAAATTGTGCTTTGTGTCTGTGTGTATGTGCCATATGTGCACTGCTGTGTTTCTAGGGTTATACTCCAGTTATGGTTCGAACTGTGAGAGCTGAGAATCAGGAAACACACAGATTAACAGCTGGGAGCTCCCCTAGTCGTAACTCAATCAATGAGGTAATACAGCACTACACTCCAGCTGTGAGTATTTGTATGTCACAGACCAAAATATTTTTTAAACATATGTCTTCATTCCTTCCTTGCAGAATACATCTAATGAGGAAGAGAAAAATATTTCCTTTTCAGTACCTGGGGCTACAGATTGCCTACATTTCTTCGAGGACTGTGTTCAATTCCAGATCAAGAAAGATGGAAATAAGGAAAGGTGGAGCAAATCACAAGAATACTTTTCCACACTACCACTAGACACAGACATTTCTGAATCCTGCAGTGTTTACACTTCGGATAAACTGAACTTCTTATAAAAAAAAACAAAAAAAACAAAACAAGAGCATTGGAGCTGAAATGAGGAAAGAAGAAATGTGAGGTGTGGAGAAACAACAGTTTTGGATTCTCCAATGGAAAAGAAAGATTTCTCCTGTGCCTTTTGCATCTTAGTGTAGTTCTAATGGTTTGGTATCAATATTGCATGCAATTTTTTCATGTAATTTTACTAAAGCATGAGTGGAGCATTAGCCTTCCTGAAATCTCCTGCTGTTACCTACCTCCAGACCCTCAGGACCAATATTTCCTGCACTGTATTTGCTGAGTGTCTGCACCTGTATGTTTGTGTGCATAATAGGGCTATGTAGACAAAGCTATGATACAAATGTTTGCGAAAGGGAATTTTTAAGCACTGTACCTACAGTAACGTAGGTTTATTTGAAGTGGTTTTCTCCATCCATCGTGTTAATCATTCCTCACTGCAACAACAATTAATTATCATGTTAAATGTCTGTTTGTTTGTTTGTTTGTTTGTTGATTTTATAATAACATAGTGCATTAACCCCTAAGGTAATTGTAGTAATGGTTATGTGAAATGTAACATGTTCCACCAAATATTGCAATAGCCTATTGATTTGTTAACTTTGTGCACAGGATAATATCATTGTCACCACATTGTTTTAATGACAAAAGAGGCTGGACTGCTGCTTTTGCTATATCAAACTGTCATCTCTTAATCAATAAAATTTATCTTTAACACACATTGATTATTTTCTCCTCAATGCCGTTTGTTTGGCTGTAACTAACAATTATTTTCAATAACAGGTATTCTGTGTATTATTTTTGATGAATCTTTAGTATGTAAGATGTAAAGACAAAGGGACAAATGGCCATCACAAGCTGCTAAAGCTCAAGGTGACATTAATTGCTTGTTTGTCCACATGACAGACCATCAACCATAGATATCCAACTTATTTTAACTGTAGAAAGCTGCTTATACTCATATTTGAGAAGCTGTAAACAGAAGAAAAATATATGTATTTTTGCTTGATAAGTGGCTTAAACGATTAAAAAACAATTGTCAATTTTTTTGTCATTAAATTTTCAGTCTGTTGACTCATAATTTCAGAGCAAATTTTTAGTGCATCGATCAGAGCAGTGTTGTTGTTCCGTCGGTAGGGGACAGCGGCGCACTTCTGAAGCTTAGACACTGGAGGAAGTCGTAGAAGAAGAAGAAACCCGGTTGTAGCGGCAATGAAAGGACAGCGTGCTACTTCCAATTTGAGCAAAACATAAGGAAAGTGTGCATTAGTGCTAATACATATTGGAGAACTGGGCGAGTGTTAATCATTATTTACACGAAATCCTTCGGACTGCGTCGGGACTATGTCTTTGGTTTGTGCAAGTAAGTGAAGTTGATTTAATTGAAATGACGGAGGTAGTGCAGGTTAGCTAGGCACCGCGCTAATGCTACTAGCTAATGTAGCTAACGTTAGCGGCCACGCAGTGCCGCCTTCTACTTGTGATAGTTCACCGGTCTTATCAAGTAATTTTAATTTTGGTATCATGTGGTTTTTGAAGCTGTAATTGCTTTTTTTCTTTCCCCCAGTCTCCAACGAGGTGCCGGAGCACCCGTGCGTCTCTCCGGTGTCCAACCAGGTGTTTGAGCGCAGGCTGATCGAGAAGTACATCGCGGAGAATGGAACGGACCCGATGAATGGGCAGCCGCTGTCTGAGGAGCAGCTCGTAGATATCAAAGGTAAACTGGAAGCAAGCTAATGAAATAAATACTCAACCCCCAGTTTATTATGAAACCTTACTAATGTAGCGGCCCTGTAATAAAACATCATGGAAGTTGTATCTGAGGTGTTGATTCATATTTATGTTCACTGTTCACTAATGAGCCTGAGGTTTGGGGGTTGCATTATACTGAGACGTGTATTTAATATTTTCTCTGCCCCACTTATATCAATGAGGATACACAAACTATGGGAAAGCTTGACATTCATGAAGTATTGTTAATTGCATGTTGTAATATAAACCTGTAGTAGTTAAGCAAGTTATATTAAATTAACTCGCCCTTATGAGAAGGCTTTAACAAACTGCATCTGTGTTCATCTGTTGTAACCTTCAACTGTGATGTTTAGTGCTTTAACAAATATTTTCATTTTGGATTAAACTGAGGATTGGCCTATTGATTAAGTGCTCAGGTGATCACTTATTTCAACGGCTTAAAGGTATGTTAGGACAAATATCAGATATTGTCCTTGCTCTTGCCACTAGTGTGCATTGTTTGACTTGCTACTGCTAGTGTCCCTGAAACAATCACAAATCAACATTAATAATCAAGACTGCTGTGACATGATTATTAAGAATGAGAGGCTGCTTATTCTGAACATGAGCAAATTTTCTCTTCTCTTTAGTGTCCCATCCTATTAGACCAAAGGCACCATCAGCAACAAGCATTCCTGCCATTCTCAAGTCCCTTCAAGATGAATGGGTAAGTGTTGTTAACCTTAAGGAGTCACAAAGGAGAACAACAAAACACCTTCATACTTTAAATGTGACTCAGAATTACTGTTTTAAATGAACAGCTGGCATTTTTTTTCTAGACCATTTTCTTTTTACCAGTATTCTTAACGGCGAGCACCTTAGGTGGAGTCTTCCAGTCTTTCAAATAACAGTAGCTTTAGTAGAATACAATGCATATTCTGTCTTGACTGAAACAATTTGGTTGCTCTAATTACATTGTGCCATTGCTCTTTTCCTACCTGACATACAATTCACCAAAAGAATTAAAAGATGTTGCTCTCTGGTTGTTGTTGAAATCCACTCTAGGAAGTATGAGTCAAGTTGATAATTACAAAAAAAGATAGTCATTTTTCCTTTTTAAAATATGGATTTTAGAAAAGGAGAAGAGTTCCCTCATCCTGACTTTTCTGTTGTAGGATGCCGTTATGCTCCACAGCTTCACCTTGCGGCAGCAACTGCAGACCACTCGTCAAGAACTATCTCATGCTCTCTACCAACACGATGCAGCCTGCAGAGTCATCGCTCGACTCACCAAAGAGGTCACTGCTGCCAGAGAAGGTGGGTTAACAGCAGTTTTCATGTCCTTACTTTAGGGCATAATTGCAGTTGTAAAGCACATAGAATGGCTTTTAGATGTTCACCAGCTCTCTCCAGAATCTGCTCCACACCATCATGTTTTTTCTTATGGGTGTATTTCCTTCTTATAGCTCTTGCCACACTCAAACCCCAAGCTGGATTGGTTGCCCCTCAGGCAGTTCCTGCCTCTCAACCAGCTGCAGCAGTGAGTTATTGACTTTTGATTTCAGTTGATAAGATACTGATCAGAAATGCTCATCACATCTTTTGCTGTGCTTGCTCCTATCTGTGTTTATTTCTGCCCTCGCAGGGTGCTGGTGGAGAGCCTATGGAGATTAGTGAACAGGTGGGAATGACCCCAGAGATCATCCAGAAGGTAAGACTTTTTCCTCTACCTACATAAATCATTATTTTGCCGTAAGCTTTCCATTTCCCCAGTAGCTCTAAGATGTGTTTCAACATGCCTTTTTTCCTGTCTGCAGCTCCAAGACAAAGCTACTATCCTCACCACAGAGAGAAAGAAGGTATACTTTTGTTTAGCCACAATTTGCTGATTTTTGCTGTAATATTTCAGTGCTGTGTAACTATTGTGGTACTATGTAATATGCTTTCATACTCCTTGTAACAACCTCACTGTACTTCTCCAGAGAGGAAAGACTGTGCCAGAGGAGCTGGTTAGAGCTGAGGATCTCAGCAAATACCGTCAAGTGGCCTCCCATGCTGTAAGTATATATTTCTGTCTGGTTCCCCTTTTCGATCAGGAGGCTGCAACAGTTTGTTCAAGTGATTCAATCAACATACTGTCAACATGCTTTCTTTTGTTGCCTTTAGGGTCTTCATAGTGCCAGTGTTCCTGGTATTCTGGCTCTGGATCTGTGTCCCTCAGACACCAACAAAGTGCTTACTGGTACACTAAATATTTCGATTTTAATGTTTTTGTGATTTATCGGCATGCTAGATCTCATTTGAAACATCTTTCAGTTTATTGACCCCACCTGTGTTCTTCTAGGTGGGGCTGATAAAAATGTGGTGGTATTTGACAAGAACGAGGAGCAGATTGTGGCGACACTTAAGGGTCACACAAAGAAGGTCACCTCTGTCATTTACCATCCATCTCAGGTAACTTCCTTTTTTTGTTTAAAGATGTGAACCAGTCAAAGTATTGTATCTTCAGATGACTGAATAAAAAACAGATTTTGGAGGCATGATCTTTTATTCTTAACTGTTGTCATTTTATTCCCTTCCCTTGTTCCTTTCCTGTCTTTTCCCCTCTAGTCTGTGGTCTTCTCTGCATCTCCAGACACCACTATCCGTGTGTGGTCTGTCACGGGAGGCAACTGTGTGCAGGTGGTCCGTGCCCATGAAGCAGGTGTCACTGGACTCTCTCTACATGCTACTGGGGACTACCTTCTCAGCTCCTCTGAGGATCAGGTGTTTGCAGCTTGAAGAAAATACCCACAGACCCTATATATCAATTAATGACAGAAGTAATGATACGGGCTATCCATTCACTGTTAAAGATTTGCCATCACACTAACTTCACTGTTATTTTTATCCCGCAGTACTGGGCTTTCTCTGATATCCAGACTGGTAGAGTCCTCACCAAAGTAACTGATGAAAGTGCTGGATGTGGTAAGTGACTCTATATTAACAAATGTGTTTGACAGTATGAATGAGCCTTCCTCCAGGTAGTAATGTTTCTGTGTACCCTCTACAGCTCTCACCTGCGCTCAGTTCCACCCTGATGGTCTCATTTTTGGCACTGGCACGGCTGACTCCCAAATCAAGATTTGGGATCTGAAGGAGCGCACCAATGTGGCTAACTTCCCTGGCCACTCTGGCCCTGTCACCTCCATTGCTTTCTCTGAGAATGGATACTATCTGGCCACAGGTGACTACTAACAGCAGTTTTACAACCATTTTTATGTAAAGTTGCAGGAAGCTTTAGGAGTACACTGACCCATATTTCCTTTTTAAAATCCTACTGAGAAACCAAAGAACAGAAAAAGTAGGAAATTTGCAAAACACATTTGTTTGTAGGACCCACAGATCTATTGCTAACTATAGCATCTTCAGGCCTTGTTTTGGCACTAAAGTGACCTGGAGTTGTATATGTACTTACATTAGCTTTATTGACACTGACCTCCTTTTCTGACACTGTTCTCTAGGTGCCCAGGATAGCTCTCTGAAACTGTGGGATCTGAGGAAACTGAAGAACTTCAAGACCATAACTCTGGACAACAACTATGAGGTAAGAAAGGACGGGTATTCCTACTATTAAAGAAATTTGTCGAAATTTGCACTCAGAGAAATAGCTGCGGCATTGAACTCCCCAAAAGTCCTCATCTTTACCCTTTACATTTGTGTCTCAACACAAAATCTGTTAATTAATTTAATGTAGAGGTATTAGGGGGATTGTTATAACTTTGGGGACAACCGTGTCAGCCAGTTTCCACTGCTTTGTGTCTTAATACTAAGCGAAGCTAATCACCTTCTGATTCTAGCTTCCTTTTTAACATACAGACATGGAAGTGGCGTTGATCTTTGCTCTTCTAACCCTTAGCAAGAAAATGTACAAACATATTTAATGTGATATAATTACTAAGATGGCCTAAAGTAAGAGTCTGATAAGAGATACCAACAGAAAGTTGATGGGGAA